GGAGTCACTGCTCAATGACCTCCAACAGCAACTGACATCTTCTGATCTGAGCACTTCCTGTTGTTTTATTGGTGACCATTGGTTTTTCTACTAAACTCATTTGAGTCCTGCTTAGTTTTAGCCTTTGCAATTTAAAGAGAGGGGCTAGTGCTAGTTTTGGCTTCTGAATGAAAATGTTACTTACAGGTCCCAAGCAGAACAACTGCCAAAAAAATGAAAAGTTAAATCACAAATCATATTTCACATCAAAATGTTACTCTTTACAACTCTGTAGGCATTATAGTACAGTTGCAAACATTAGTGCACTCAATATCTACAGTACACAAAAACTAAGTATACAGGGTTTCAGTACTCAGCATGAAAAATCTGAGTCAGCCCTCCCCCAGACATGCCTGGTTAAAAAGGGATCCTGGCACCTATCACTGAAAGCCTGGTTGGCAGTAGCAGGGCCAGCAGGGGTCATGCCTATGGTAAGGGGCAGTGTAGGAAGCCTCCTTGCTGTCCCTCCGCCTAGGAGCCACAGGGACATGCTGGTTGCTTCCTGAAAGCCATACAGACTTCCTCTGTCCTCAGGAAATGTGGGGACCCCTGAGGTCATCACTACCCAGAGCCCCGCACTCCCAACCCCAGCTCAGAACCCTTCCCACACACACTCACTCCCAGAGTTGCACCAGCTGCCTCACCCTGCCCCAACCTTGAGCTCCATCCTACACTTCAAAGCCCTCATCCCTGACCCTACCCCACAGCCAGTGACCTCAGCCAGAACCCCAAACCCATAGCTCCATCCTGAACCCTCATCCTTTCATTTCTGATCCCAAAGCTCTCATCCCCAGCCCAGATTCTGTCTCCCTTCCACATTCCAACCCTCTGCCCCAGACCCCACTAGCACTCCAAAACCCTCAGCCCCACCCCCCAGCCAGAAGCCCCCTGTGTACCCTAAACCCCTCATCTCTAACCCCAGAGACCTCACCCCCAGATGGTTACCAGGTTTGCCCATTACTCTGAGGCATGCTCATTTATTAGAGTTACATTTATGGAGGGGTTAATAATGATATTAATGTGCTGCTTGTGCTTTGATATGGAACTGTACTTCTCCCTGCTGCCAATTCCCTCCCAATGAACCTTTTCTGCAAGAACTATGTTCCCCAGGCCTGGGTTCTTCCCACCCTAGAATCAGACAGACACACACTCACATCCACTAACAGAGCACATCTGAGAGGACCGGTTAATTAGCACTCAACAGTTGACCCCTTATATGTCCCTGCACTCAGTAGGCTGGATTGCACAGCAATGCCAAGCTGTAGCCCTCACGTGCCCTTGGACTCAGTGGGCTGGGTTTAATAGCACTTTAAGCTACTACCCTGAGTGAGGGAGATCAAGTGAAAACGAGAGGAAAAGAGAGAGAAGCAACCAGCTTAATAATGAAAGTTATTTATTTCTAAGTAGTAACCATACAAGGAAAGCCAAACCAAACACATATATATACAAATATAATATGTAATATTGTAACTGTGTGTGTGTGTGTGTGTGTGTGTGTGTATAGTTACAATATTACATCTAACTGTTAAATCTAAATTAAATCTGCTTATGAATGTTAGGGCTAGCAAACCATATAACTGATCACACAAGGCAAGGTGGGGAGGCTATACCTAGAGAGAAGTAGGGTGTGGGATGAGAGAGAACTCACCACTCCATGAAGCCTGAACTATCAGGATCTCAGATGGTGATGGTAGCTGGGAATTCAGAATATTGGAGACAGGCAGAGCAGAGCCGCCAGCATGATCAGTCAGGAGCAGATGAAATCCCAATGGACCTGATGCAGACTTTAGCTCCAGGCATCAGAACACTTTACTTGAGCAAGGATAGGAATTTTTGTAGGGACATAATTCAAGGGGAACACTGGATTTATGGGTAAACAGATAGTTCAAGGTAGTATTCTAAAGCTTTGTTTAGGCTAGACAATAGAAACTGATCATTCCTGACTATGGGTGGTATTCCTTCAGAGCACTAATAGTACAACTACGCAGTGCCAGTATTTTGGATATCAATAGAGGATCTATTACTACAATTGGTTTGATAATTACTGATTTGGGGGTGAGCAGGCATGGGCTCATTAGCATCTGGAGCAGATATTTCCCACCAGGCAGTGCTTTTCTGCTTTCAGTATCCCATAGTTTGGTGCCGTTCTTGCTTTGGAAGTGCTGTTCTCCATTGGGTACGTCTAGACTGGCAAGATTTTGCGCAAAAGCGGCCGCTTTTGTGCAAAAACTTGCCAGCTGTCTACACTGGCCGCTTGAATTTGCACAAGAGCACTGACTTTGTAATGTACAAAATCAGTACTTCTTTCACAAATACTTTCACGCTCCCGCTCAGTGTAGACAGGCCTTAATTTTTTGCACAAGAAAGTACTATGGCTAAAATGGCCATCGGAGGTTTCTTGCACAAAAGCGCGTCTAGATTGGCACAGATGCTTTTGTGCAAAAGCACTTTTTGCACAAAAGCATCCTTGCCAATCTAGATGCTCTTTGGCGGAAATACTTTTAACGGAAAAATGTTTCCATTAAAAGTATTTTCACAAAATCATGCCAGTCTAGACGTAGCACATTCTGTATGCTAATGTAGATGTCTGTCTGTTCTATCTTCAGTGCAAATGAAGCTATGGGTGTTTGCTGAATTCTATCACCCTTGTCTGGAGGGGTTTAGGTGTGTCTTCCCCTGCCTTTTCATTGTTTTCTCTTTAGTTCAAGCAGAGGGTTGGGGGGCGGGGTGTTCTCCACGAGTATCGCGCTGTGGTTCCCCAAGAACATAGAGCTGGTAGGTACCGAGTGCCCTCAGCTTGCCTGCAACCCAACCCTCTGCCCCAGCCCTGGGAAAATGAGCCCGTGAGTGAGGGTGAAAATAGAACAAGTCATGGAGGGAGGGGGAATGGAGTGAGAGGGGTGAGGCTTCAGAAGCGGCAGGACAGGGCAAGCCTAAGAAGGAATAGGGCAGTAGTCTGGGTCAGGTGTAAGGTTTTTGGTTTTGTTGTTGTTGGGTTTTGGGGGGGGGGGTTGCCACTGGTTTCTGAATTTTTAGGATGCACTTTGGTCACATTGCAGGTTTTCTTCAGAACTATGTAGACCAGAAATGTATATTTTATTTCTTAATGAAAGCTGAGATTCTTAAGAAACAGAATGATTCCAGGAGCTGATGTTTCAGGAAAAATACCAAATAATGTATGATAAAATCACACAAGTTGCTTGGCAACACTGAATATTTCAGGTAAAGAGTACAACAGATAAAGAGAGAGAAAGGGCACTTT